GGACCCCCGGCAAGCTTTCCTTTCTTTATTCGGACGTCGATTGATGCCGATAAACGTCCATTGAAGCTTTATCTTCATATAGGAAGTCTTCTTGGCCTATATTGAGATGTCGGGCAAGCTTTAACTTGTTATAGGAAGTCTCCTTAGCCTTTATTGAGAGGTCGGGCAAGCTTTATCTTTGTTATAGGAAGTCTCCTTAGCCTTTATTGAGAGGCCGGGCAAAATTAGGGGTCTACAGCTGCCCCCCCTTCACCTGCCTGACTAATTGTTGGCCTAATATGCCGACAAAGTTAGTTGGTAGGGGAAGGAGTTAACCCTTTTTGCCCGGTTATCCTTCAGATGCTCCTTCGCTTGAAGTTTGCTGATCCTCCGGATGATAAATAATTTTGATAGGTACCAACCCCTATCTGGTTTGAGCCTTCTTTTATAAGGCTCTGGTGAGTACTTACCCTCACCAGATATGAGTCTGCATTTCACTAGACTCTTGTGGGTACCTACCCCCACTAGGTATGAATATGCTTTTTGATGAGTACCTACCCTCATCTGGTGTGAACCCTATTTCATTCTGCAAGGCTCTAGTGAGTACCTACCCTCACCTGGTATGAACCCCGTTTTGCAAGGTTCTTTGTGGGTACTTACTTCCGAGGTGCTCAACAACTGAACTATCCTTTAATAAAAGTAAGGTTTTCGCAACCCGTTTTTTGTAATGCTCTGGTGAGTATTTTACTCTACCTGATGCGAATCTGCATTTTTTGCTAGATTCTGATGAGTACCTACCCTCATCCGGTACAAACCCTATTTTATAAGGCTCTGGTGGGTACCTACCCCCACCTGGTACGAATCTGCATTTTTTGCTAGATTCTGATGAGTACCTACCCTCATCCGGTACAAACCTTATTTTATAAGGTTCTGGTGGGTACCTACCCCCACCTGGTACAAATATGCATTTTTTGCTAGATTCTGATGAGTACCTACCCTCATCTGGTACAAACCTTATTTTATAAGGCTCTGGTGGGTACCTACCCCCACCTGGTACGAATCTGCATTTTTGCTAGATTCTGATGAGTACCTACCCTCATCTGGTACAAACCTTATTTTATAAGACTCTGGTGGGTACCTACCCCCACCTGGTACGAATCTGCATTTTTGCTAGATTTTGATGAGTACCTACCCTCATCTGGTACAAACTTTATTTTATAAGGCTCTGGTGGGTACCTACCCCCACCTGGTATGAATCTGCATTTTTGCTAGATTCTGATGAGTACCTACCCTCATCTGGTACAAACCTTATTTTATAAGGCTTTGATGGGTACCTACCCCCACCTGGTACGAACCCCGTTCTGCAAGGCTTTGATGGGTACCTACCCCCACCTGGTACAAACCCCGTTCTGCAAGGCTCTGATGGGTACCTACCCCCACCTGGTACGAACCCCGTTCTGCAAGGCTCTGATGGGTACCTACCCCCACCTGGTACGAACCCCGTTCTGCAAGGCTCTGATGGGTACCTACCCCCACCCGGTACGAACCCCGTTCTGCAAGGCTCTTGTGGGTACCTACCCTCACCTGGTATGAACCCCGTTCTGCAAGGTTCTGAATGAGCCCCATTCTGCAAGGCTCTCAGGATGCACTTTTTGATAGTCAATCCTATGGTCATCTGGTTTTGGAGATGTGTTGGTGGCTTACTGTTTCTGATCATGCGCCTATTCCGTGGGGAGTGATTGATTTTCTTTCTTTTTGACTTTTCTGTTTTAGTCATCCGGTTTTACCGGGGATTTCTTTGTTCTTGTCTTTTCTTGTTTAGCCATCCGGCTTTGTCGGGGATTCTTTGCTTTTTGGCTTTTCTTTTTAGCCATCCGGTCTTGCCGGAAATTCTTTGCTTTTTGGCTTTTTCGTTTAGCCATCCGGCTTTGCCGGGGATTCTTTGTTTTTGGCTTTTCTTTTAGCCATCCGGTCTTGCCAGGGATTCTTTGCTTTTGGCTTTTCTTTTTAGCCATCCGGTCTTGCCGGGGATTCTTTGTTGGTTTCCTCTTATTTAGGCAGGAATCCATTGGGGATTTTTGGTTTCTGTCGATTGTGCCTCTTGATTAGGCAGATGCTTCAATAGTGGTGAAGGATTTATACTTGTTGTTTTTCGCCTCTGCATAGGTTGATGTTCCACTTGAGGATATTTGCTCTTGATAATACCTCTGAGTAGGCAGATGCTTTATTGGAAGCTTTGTGCTTTGGACTTGTATTGCCTCTTGTATAGGTTGATTTCCTGTTTCTTGGGGATATTGGCTCTTTGCTTGCCTCTGAGTAGGCAGATGCTTTCTTGGGAGTGAAGGTTTTGCATTTCACTGGGGATATTCATATTGGGTGTTATAGGCGATTAACTCCCTGAGGATATGAATTTGTAGTTTGCCTCTGTCGTGGCTCATTGGTGATAGTTTTTCTTTTTGGTGATCCACCGGGGATTTGATCATTTTTTGGAGATCTATTTTGAATTGTCCCTTAGGGAGGAATGGAGTTTTTGACTCCTTGTTGGATGCTGTTATTTTGAGCTAGCTTTGCCTATGCTCTTATTCTGCTGGGGAATAGGTTTTTACCTTTTTCTCACGATTTTATCTCTTTTTCGCGATTTTGAAAATTTTGGCTTTTAAATGTGTGCGCCTTTTATGCACACTGGCTTTTTTGTTATTTGCTGGATGAAGAGATTTATTTTTTCTCTTTTCTTTTTGGCGATCCCAGGGAGTTTATTGGTTTCCTGGGGATCCAATCTTTGATTTGATTTTTACGATGGAGTCTTGGCTCCTAGCTTTGTGAAGCTCTTATTAAGCTGGAGGATGGAAATTTTATTGTTTTCCTCTTTTTGTAGATTTTTCTGAAATGCTCTACTTGGAGATATTTATTCGGCATTTTTTTGTGCCTCTATTGGGGAATGAAAGATTTTATTTTCTTTCTTTTTGTTGAACCCCTGAGGATATGGAGAATTTGACTCCGTATTTTCTTTGATGGACTCTTGTATAGTCCTTATTCTCCTTTGGGGAAGTCGTGGAGATTCTGGGTGAATGTGCTCGATGACTCATGTGGTGATGAAGCTGAGTCGTGAGGTAATCTTTTTGTTTTGCCTCTAGAGTAGACAAGGATCCGCTTGGGGATGATCAAGCCTTTCCGTTGACTTTTTCATGTTGATGACTTCCTTTTCCTTGGATAGAAGGATGTTGATTGAAGCTTCAAATGATTATTTGACGACTCATGTGGTGATGCTGAGTCATGAAGTAATATTTTTGTTTTACCTTTGGAGTAGGAAAGGATCCATTTGGGGATCATCGAGCCTTTCCGTTGGCCTTTTTCCGGTGCACCTTCGTTCATTGGGATAGAAGATTAGAGCTAGTTTCCTTGAAGCTCTTTATTCTGCTGAAATAGTTTTGATTTTGCCTTTTTCTTTCGCGATTTTGATCTTTATCGCGAGTTATTTGAAATCTAGCTTTTTAATATATCACGTGTGCCTTTTTCTTTTATAATTTTTTTGTACACGTGGGCTTTTTAACATGTAAACAGAAATAACAAATTTTATTTATTACTTCTTCTTTTTTCTTGGTGATACATTCAAGCATTTTTAAACTACTAGAAAATATCTAAAGACCTCCTAATCATCTGCTTCTGGGCTGGAATGGGAGGATGGTGCTGGCGAAGGGATGCGGCGGAGTATGCGGCGCTGGAACCTTGCCTGAGTCTGAATCAATTTTTCTATTTGACGATCGGTCCTATCCTGCCTCATGGTCAGCTGAATGAACTGCTGTCGTATGAACTGGAACTGCCCTTCCATGTAGGCATGCTCATCATCTATACGTCGATATAAGCCGGCGAAGTCTGGATCATATGATTGCTGTTGGGATTCCGAAGTCGCAGGGATGTCCTATGGTGTGTCGAAATCACGCATATCCAGCGAAATCGAGATTATGGGGTTTAAAATAAACCCTGATCCTTGTCGACTAAGGATGTTCATATGGACCAGTGTTCCTTTGTTAATCGGCTCTGGTTGGAGGCTAGCTGGGAGGTCTTCTCCGTCAGTGCATCCCCAATATTCAGCTAAAGGGGTGAGAAAGGGAGCCACCATGATGGCTCCTACTGAGCCACGAGTTCCGCAATCCTTTACAGCTTTCAGGAACGCATATCCTGGGTTGCATCGATGTCCTTGATGCATACAATAGATAATAAAAAGGTCAATCAGCGTTACCTTCCCTTGGCTTTCCTTCCGGCTATGTATGGTCCCGGCTAGTAGTTTATGGCATATGCAAAGTGGCGGAGAAAAAGCTGCACCCTTAAGATGTGCTGGTAGTGTATGTGCTCCGGTAATTTCTTTCCACATGTTGGTGGTAGTGAGAGCAGCGGGTTTCTCGAGATATGCAGATCTATATTCCGGTGTCCTCGTGTCTGCTCGTTGGCAAAAACCCATTATGACATTAAAGTCATCCAGAAAAGTGGTCCGGTATGCCCCATCCATCCAGTAGGAGACGACTTGAGTAGGTGGCACTCCGGGAGTCATGGACGACATCTCCACCAGATTGACGGAGGCAAGGAATTCCAACGTAGCAGTACGGTGGATTCGAGTAGGTGGCTCACGAAGCAAAAAAATCCCATCCTATGTTGTGGATGAACCTTCTAACATCTTGATCCCAGCCAAATGTAGCTAGGATTTCAAAATCCAACCATAGCATGGGATGCCAGGAAAATTGTTGGATATTTGCCATCCTTTGTTGATGTGGTTCTGCCAGCAGAGTGTTGGTGACAGGAGTTCCTCTAGCGGAGGTTCTGGTGCGTTTTCTCCTGGACGAAGCCTCTCCACGTTCCATTGTATGCCTTACTCACTTAAGGATGCTAAAAGTGTGTAGAAAGGGAGGAGAAGCAAGATGGAATGCTTGGAATGGGGTACCAAGGCAAGGATCCGCGCCTAACATATATAGGAGGAGCCAGGATAGTTGGGGTTGGGACGACCGTCTGGGGTTGGGACGGCCGTCTCACTTGAAAATTTTCCTTTGGGACAGCCAACTGAGGAGTGGGACGACCGTCTCACTTGAAAATTTGGCCCAGAGACGGGCGTCCCATTTGAAATTGGCTGTTTGGGATGGTCGTCTCACCCTTGGGACGGCTGTCTCAAGCTTTTCGAGTTGGTTTTCATGTTTTTTGATGAGAAGGAAGATAGGACTTCGTTCATTGATGTTTTAATGCATGTAATGTTTCATGATATGCATCCTATGATCTATTTCAGTTAATATTTTGAAAGTTTTAATTGATGTGTTTTGACTTCGGGCGCATTCTTGGTGCTATACCTTTCTGTCATCATGTTTCTTGATTAACAAGCTTGCCTGTACCTGATTTGCCGTCTCGGAATTTTCTTGTTATAGCCAAAGAGCAATCTTTTGTTCGTAGGACAACTGCCATATCAATGCCCCCCTTCCTTTCCTTAGGGATTTCAACCTTCCTATTGATCACTATATTTCCACATTCCCCTTATTACTTGAATGCTTTTATAGTGAAATGGTCAAGAGAAGAGAAAGAAAAGGATTTATAGCAAGGGCTTGTGTTTTAGAGGGATATATATTTTTTCAATAGAGGTTTCTGTAAGAATGGCTAGCCAAGGTTGGTCTCTGTTTAGGCTAGTTTAGGCAAACATTTTGTTCTTATGATGTGGCGTCTTTACTTTACTGATTTGTGGCACCTTTTTGTGATTGATTAACTTTCCTAGCCCGCCCTTTCAGGTTTTCAGCCTAGGATGTTATGCTTATGTCCTAACTTTTGTCTAGGTTTCCCTTTTTGTATTTATTTTTTAGGAATACCTAGCGGACTTTTCGTAACCCTAACTTTTGCCCAGGCTACCCTTTATTATTGTTCGGGTCTCCTGGCGGGTTTACCCTAACTTTTGTGCAGCCCCCTTTTGTGGGTTTCCTGCCGGGTTTTTTGCCCTTTTATTTTCTTGTCTTGGCCTTTGGCCTTGACGGGCTATCCTTTTTTGTATATATATTTTTTTTTGCACAACATTGTCAAAACTTGATTCTATCGAGATAGATTTTATCCGTGTTTCTAGTTAATCAATCATATTTGACTTTGCTTTATGACGCTTTGATTGTTCTGACGTATTTGGAACAAAACCTCTATCTAAACCTTGTTTATTAAAAATGGGGTATAGATATATTTAGCAAGAAGAGAAGCAGATAGTAAGAATAGCATTCTTTTGTAATTTTGGGGAAATGTGTGCCCTAGAGATGCTCGGGGGCCGGGCATACCCCGAGGAGTGATCTCTAATAGTCACTAGGTTTACATCCCTTAGAATTGGAAGAAGGACACCTAATGACTAACGCTACCCTTTGCGCTAATACCCCTCTTTTTCAGAATATCGTGTTTGAGGGGTAAGACTTCCTTGTCTTTCGTATGGTTTGATCTTTTGTAGGGTCGTACCCTAAACCATACTTTAAAGGATTATCTTTGAAATCTGGTGGCTCTTTTATTCCTTGAGCATTCTTTCCGAGCCCCTGTCCTGGGCGATATCCATATCTTTTCATCATATCGGCCACCTTTGTATTACTGGGAAGTTTTTCTATGTTGGCAATTTAGAGTGCTTGAAAGGATGTTTCCAGAGCCTCTTCAACCGCATCCACATATGGTTGGACAGACGGTTTGCTAATTAAAAAGTCTTCTTCAGCTTGAACTGTGACAAGTTTATCATTTGTCACAAACTTGACTTTTTGGTGGAGCGTTGAAGGTATTGCCTTAGCGCTATGAATCCAAGGTCTACCAAGGAGACAACTATATGCTGGCGTGATATCTATCACGTGGAAGTCTATGTAAAAAATAGTAGGGCCGATTTGGATTGGTAGACTAATCTCTCCTACTACTTCACGTCTTGATCAGTCAAAGGCTCGAACAATCGTATTACTTGGGTGCATGTGGGTTCCTTGCACTGTTATCTTGTCAAGTGTGCCTTTTGGCATGACGTTTAAGGATGATCCATTATCCACTAGAACTTTGGAAATGAGATATTCCTTGCATTTGACAGAAATATGCAAGGGCTTATTGTGATTTGACCCTTCTAAAGGGAGTTCTTCATTTGTGAAGGTAAGATGATTATTGGCTGTAATATTACCAATGATTCCTTCAAAATTGTCCTGGGATATTGCATGCGGAACGAATGATTCATTCAAAACCTTTAACAGTGTGCTTCGATGCGGCTCCGAACTCATTATAAGTGATAACAAGGTTATCTTTGCAGGAGTGCGATTGAGTTAATCGATGATGGAGTACTCACTTTGTCTTATGTACTGGAGTAACTCATCTATCTCCTCCTTGGATTCTTTTTCCTCTTCGGCCTTATTTTTTGCCTTATCTTTAGGAATATTATCTTGTAATTCCTTGGGGGAGTATATTCTTCCGCTTCTAGTCATGCCCCCAATACCGGCTATGTTGGAGATATCTTGATTAACTGATGATTCTTCTGAGTATCTCCAAGGTACAGCTTTATTTGATGAATAAGGGAAAGGACGAGGCATGAATAAACGTAAAGGCGTTATTGCCTCTTCCCTTTTATCGATTGGAATGATCAACGGTGCTTGTTTGTTATCATCTTTGGGTCTATCGACCGTTGTAGTGATTTTGATGACGAAAGGCTTCTTTTCCATTTACTCTGATTTGTGGAAAGCACATCAATTAATCCTTTCTTTTTATTATCTTTATTATTAAAATGAGGAGGGATGTATGAATGTATGCAACTTATGAATGCAATAGACAGTTTAAGGAAAATCCTTTTTATTTTAACTAGAAAGTGTTTATCCTTCTATACAATGCTTTGAAGCAAGTGTTGACAAAAACGGAGCAGCTTGAAGAATCCTATAGGTAAATTAGGCTTTCTTCGTAATTCATCTTCAGCTACCCTCACATGATTTCTGAGCATCTTAATTTGCTCATGTACCGCCTGGTTCATATCTTCACTGTATCGACGAGCCTCTTTTATCTTTTCTTCTTGATGAACGATCAAGGCATGTTGTTGGTCGGACCTCTCTAATACTTGGTCTTTTTCACGAAGTAATTGACCATACTGAGCTAATCCATCTCTTTCTTTATCATGTAGCTCATCCAGGATTTCTCTGTATCTTTCAGCGGTTTCCCACCACTTTTGTGCTTCTGACCGAGTTTCTGCTAGGTCATCTTGTATTAACTTGATCGTTTTTGCCTGTTCTGCAAGCGCACACTCAAGATGTGCTATTTCGTCATTCATGTCCCGAAATAGACTATCTTGTTCAAGCCTCAGAAATTTCAATGCTTGTTTAGTCTCTTCTTGATAATCAGCACAATCATTCTTAAGACGCTCTATTTCATGGTCCTTCTTTTTACATTGCCTTTTTAGACCATTGTCGCCGCCGTCAAAACGAGGGCGGTCAGAGCGACGCGATGGTTCTGACTTTCCAATTTTTGCCTTTTTTATTGGTGGTTACAACGCCTTTAGGTTGTCAGATAACCGGGCTGAACCTAGGGGCGAGGTTTTTGAAAGAGCGTTCTTGGATTGTCCGATAACCGGGCTAAACCAAGAACTAGTTTTTTAAGGGTTCTCTGGAGTTGCCACCGACGTTTTTACCGGAAACATCAGAAAAGGAGTTAAAAAGGCGTTGGTTTTCGAAAAACCAACTTTGGTCATTAGAACCAGAGTTGGGTAAGGGAGTTAGTTACGTGTTAGTTCCCTTACGACGCCCCTTTCGGGTTCCCTATGATAGGCTAGTTACTTTGGATAAATAAATAAACCGGTGAAAAATACGCTTTTACCCTTTATTTTGCGGAATTTAAAATTATGACTACATGGCCCTAGTTTCTATTGCATAATTAAAATTAAAGCGGTAAAAATAGAGAGAGACAGAGAGTGAAAACCTCCGAAGCAAGCTTTTTATTAATCTTTGCAAAAATAGGGTGCTTTTTGGCAGCCCTTCACTCTTTACAGCGCCAGAATCTCTCGAAAACGCTCTAAAACACTCTAGAAAACTCTCAGAAACTCCGGAAATGCTTCGGAGGGGTTCTAGAAAGAGAATTTGGTGAAAAGTCTAGAGAGAGAATGGAAGAACTGTGTGAAATGAGGGGAATGGGGGCCCTATTTATAGGGATTTGCGCCTGTCAAGTCGAGACGGTCCGTCTTGTCTGACAAGGTCAAGACGGTCGTCTTGCCAAACGAGACGGCGGTCTTGCCATCCGCGCAAGGCAAGACGGCGGTCTCGAATCCGAGTTGGCGATCTCGACCTTAAGAGGCGAAAATCCTTATTTTTGAGCCAAAAATCCCTCTTATCCTAGTATGGGGCCTAATAGTCTCTCCTAGTGGCTTCTTAGGCTTCATCCATCTTTGAAAAGGAGGCCTTCTGGTCTTTATTCTGAGGTCGGGCAAGATTTGGGGTCTACAGCTGCCCCCCCTTTACCCGGCTAGTCGACTGCTGGCCTGCTGTGCCAAGGAGATCGACTGGAGGGAAAGGAGTTGACCCTCTTGCCCGGTTGTCCTTCAGACGTCCCGACTTGCGGCGGTTGATCTTCTGGAAAAAGGTGTGCTTCCAGGATGCTTCTTATGGTGATAGCTGATCCTCTTGGTTGATAAGTACGAACCCCTATCTGGTTTTGACGAGTATGAACCCTCGCCCGGTAAACCCTCTTTTGTAAGGCCTGATGAGTAGACACCCCCATCTGGTGTTTGACGAGTATGAACCCTCGTCCGATAAGCCCCCTTTTGTAAGGCCTGATGAGTATACACCCCCATCTGGTGTTGTGCCTCCGGATGCTCCTTCTTGCGGTAGCCGATCCTTTTGGCCATGGTGGCGACTTACTGCTCTAGCTCATGCGCCGGTGTTGAGATGTGTTCTCTTGTCTTTGATTTGGTCGTCCAGATTGTGCTGGGGATTTTTGTGGTGTTCTTCCAGCCTTGTTGGTTGCTGGGGATTCTTTGATTTTTATCTTTTGGTAGTGGTCATCCGACTTTGCTGGTTGTCGGGAATTTTTGATGAGTGCCTCTTAGGTAGGCAGGAATCCTCTGGGGATTTGTTGATTTTGATGGTGCCTCTGAGCAGGCAGATACTTCATCGGAAGTCAAGACTTTTGGCTGCATTTGTTTTGCCTCTGACTAGGCTGATATTCCCTTATGGGGATGCTGGCTCTTGCTTGCCAGGTCTTGCCTATGCATAGGC